TGGCTGAAGCCCTTTCCACACTCCATGCATTTATATAGCTTCTCCCCTATATGACTTCTGTTATGGGAAGTAAGATGACCATGTTGGTGCTTTCCACACTCAATGTATTTAAATGGCTTCTCTCCTATGTGCATTCTTTTACGAGATGTCGCTCTTTCTCTAGAAAGAGTGAAAATCCCATTGTAATTTCTTCCGTTGTCATTGCATATGTAGTCTTCTGGTTTGGGTTGGGTTGGATAATATTCATTTACGTCTAATATGTCTTTGAATGGTCCTAAACCTGTCCCAGTATATTTTTTCTTTATTTTTCCTAGTTGGTCAAGAAAGCCTTGCAACTGAGCATCAACTGAAGATAAGCTTTCCTTATTCCAATGATTTGACAGGTTTCTCTCCTGCCTTTGTTGTTCCATTTGATTTGCAGGCTTCTCTGTTCTGTTCCCAAGTCTGAACTTTTGGAATGGTTCAATTGACTCTGTATTCTCCTGCCCATTGTTACCTTCAAAGGAAAAGAGAAATAAAAATGTTAGCAAGATTAAGAAAAAAGGTCAATCTTCCAAAAGTCATACCAATTTCCCTCTGATATTGTGCCAAATTCCAATATATTGCATAGTTGTATACTTATAATGCCATGGTATATAAATTATAATATCTCTATTCATGAGACATAAAAGCTTTCAAACATCTGAAACAAAATTTTAATTTAAAAACTAAGAGAAACATCCAAGAAAGCATTTGTAGAAAACCTAACGTTTATTGGAGGCGGGCCAATTCCAGAAGAGCCCTGTGAGAATTAATTTTGAAACGTATTTTTTTTCTTCCTATACAAACCTACCTTCCATTTGTGTTTTTAATTTTTTTCCTGCCAAAGATCATGACTGCAGAGAGAAAAAACTTAAAGAGTTCTTGCATTAACCCTAAGCAGCATGTTTGCAACAGAAAAATGGCACTAGTTTGTCCTAATTCCAGGACTCAGGATAGAAAGGAAATGGAAGCAAAGCCCATTAAGCCCCAAAATTAATTGAATTGCAATCCTTCGTAGTACTGATACGGAAACACCTGGGCCAAAAAGTATGAAATCTGTGTAACAGAGTTTAGCGTTATCTCAAACCAAGGAATTATTTAACACTGGTTTAAATAGAAATAGAAATACGGATGACAAATAGCATGAGGCATCTAAGCAGAAAGCCATTGATCTATTTCCATAGTAGGAGCAGTAGAACAGCATATTTTTTCCTTCTCCTTCTCAAGAGATGACCTTTATTTGGAGATTTTTAAATAAGAAACAGCCAATGGCATCAACTCTGACTGGAGAATAGGAAACCTTACCTAAAGAAGCTGCATTCCTATAATTTTCCAGCATGACTTCCCGATGCAGACCTTTTTGGTGAGGATCCAGCTGAGACCATTCCTCATCAGAGAAATAAACAGCCACCTCCTCAAAGGGCACAATACCCTCCTGAAAAAAAAAAAGTACAGAATAGACCTGGGAGAGACTGCAAGATCTGCCCTATTCTTTAGGAATGCCCAAAGCAAAGTTATGCACTAAGGTCTATGCTGAGTAGGATTCCAGGATTGAGATGAGAAAATGGACAGAACAAAAAGCATTTGACTGAAAAAATATTTTAAGTGGCTTTTATTAACTTGATTGATACTACAGACTTTTAGTGTCATTCAGTGAAAGTAACCCCAGTTTCCTTCTGGACTGATTCATCTACCATCTACCATCTACCCTCAAAACACTCTTCTCAACCCATTAATCCACCCACCATCAAAAGACCCTCAGCATCTGGAGAGAATCAACTGGCAGGTGGGCCTTAGAAATACCACCTATTAGTGACTCTAATCCTCCCTATGTTTGCAGAAGGAAATGTGTGTATTGGAAGATTTGATAAGGTGCCATCAATATCCAGAGATACAAAACTCTTCATATAGAAAGGAAGCTGCTAATAGTCTGAACCATTGGCTGAATGGGAGACAAACAGAACATTGCCTAAGGAGAACGTTTCTTAACCTTTATAGCCAAAGGGGACTTTCAGAACAATTTTTATAATGAGTCACTTTCAGTCAATTTTAACAGTCTTATCTTTTAATCTGATGAACTTTGTTTTCTTATGTCTTTGTAATGTAAGCATTGTATTTGTAAAATACAATATGAACTTTGTAACAAAGCTTTTAAAAATGGTAATGTGCCATTATGAATATTATGTCATTTTTTAAAGCAGTCTTGCATAAATCAAGTCAAAGAATGACAAAAAGAATGGGCATTGTGAAGGATTTTGTAAAAAAAAAATTATTGAAATGTATGCATTATAATTAGTATAAAGAGTACTTTTTAGAAGTATTGATATTTTAAATTTTTTAAATAAGGATCTCACTTGAATTTTTGTTGCTTGGGAGCATTAAAATAAGGCATCCCAAACAAGAGGGAAAAATGGAAGGAGACAGTACAATGTAAAGAAAGAAAAAGGAAGAAGAAAAGGGAGAATACAAATGTAATAAATAATTTTCCTTCTCTTACTTGAGTTGGAGGTTCAACCATTGTTTCATCTTCATCATAAGGAAGTGTCAGCTTCAGCCTATTATTCCCTGTGAGGGAGACAGAATTTTAAAATGCAAAATTAACAAAATAGGAGGTGTACTATAAATAGCAAAGTCATAGAGAAGATGAGACAGCTAAGATCTCTGTGGGGAATGGGAGAGTCTTGAATTACCTCTGGATGTTTCTTGATTTATGTCGTCCTGAGTAGTCCTCAAGAAAAATAGTTCCTGAGGGGTATCCGATAGATGCCTCTTTCCCTCAGGATCTCTGATCTCCACAGTGAAGGACTTGAAATATAAGCCAGAGAAAAGAAGAATGAAAGGAAAACACACACCATGACATGGAATCTTGTTCTGTTTTTTCAACACCACTGGAAAGCACCCAATATCCACCAGTTAGGTTGGAAAGAAAAGGCTGTGCCAAATCTTTCTTCTAAAAATGGATAATGGAACAATGTCCTTCCAAGAATTAGTGAAATCTTATGAATACCAGAGCACTGGTAATGAGGAGCATAGAATTCAAACACATTGTTTATGACATTTAAACCCCTTCTAGGCTCCTGATATGAAATTATCTCACCTGCAACTCAACCTGCTCCTTCTTCTCCTCCGCCTGGCTCAGGAGGAAGCCTTCCACCAGGGCCACCACCTGGGAGCTGGTCTCTGCTCCACACTCCCGCACCCAGCTCTGCATCTGCACGGGCAGAAGGGCCAGGAACTGCTCCAAAACAACCAGGTCCAGCATCTGCGCTTTTGTGTGCTTTTCTGGTCTCAACCATCGATTACAAAAGTAGTGGAGTCGGGTGCAAAGTCCTCGGGGACCTTCATCCCCCTGATATTGGATGCTCCTGAAGTTCCAGGCATGAACTTGTGAAACGATGGTTTCCTCCTCCAGGATCTTCTGCCCAGTTCTTGCCCAGATCTCCCCACAGTTCCCAGGCTGAGCACCAGAAGGGTTTTTTCCAGTTCTCTCATTTGCTAAAGGATGGCTTGCCATCTTTCTCTGTCCTATGATATAATTCCAAATAGGTTGAAGGAATCTTGAGGATCTCCAAATGCTTTTTCATTCATTGGAGCATTCATCTAGCCTCAGGACTAACCAGAACAAACCATTCAGCCCTCTTCGTTGAAGAGAACTTTGTCTCTATGAAAGGCTGCACAAATCGCTTCCAGTTGACGTATCTGAGACTGAAAACCAAATAAATGCCAAGAATTAGAAAGTGGTGCATTTAACCATTCAGGAATAATCCTACTCCTGGAAGGGTGTTTCTGAGCTAGTGTAGGATTACAGTGGCACTGAGCAGTTAGTTTTTGTGCGCGATTGTGTGTGTGTTGCAAACTATGGCATTGACCCTCAGCAAAAATTGGGATGAAATGCACTGAATAAATGCATTTCAGTACATTTTTTTCCCTATTTCTTTCTCCCCCAAAGAAGGGCTTGCTTTTTAAAACCAAGAAATATATATACACTAGAAAGAGCGCAGAAAAGAGCAACAAAGATGTTTTAAGGGACTGGAGGCTAAAACATATAAAGAACGGTTGCTAGAACTGGGTATGTCTTGTTTGATGAAAAGAAGGACTATGATAGCAGTGTTCCAATATCTCAGAGGCTGCCACAAAGAAGAGAGAGTCAAGCTATTTTCCAAGGGCAGGACAAGAAGCAATGGGTGGAAACTAATCAAGGAGAGAAGCAACTTAGAACTAAGGAGAAATTTCCTGACAGTTAGAACAATTAATCAGTGGAACAACTTGCCTCCAGAAGTTGTAAATGCTCCAACACTGGAAGTTGTCAAGAAGAGATTGGATAACCATTTGTCTGAAATGGTACAGGGCATCAGGCCTGAGAAGGGGTTGGACTAGAAGACCTCCAAGGTCCCTTCCAACTCTTGTTATTCTACATCTATATACCTGCAGGCAGGGTTCACACAACATGCCAATCCCCGAACACATTAACAAACCATGAAAGTTCACATAAAATGAAATCCAGCTAAGTGAGTCTTGTTTAGGATGTTACATTTCCCTTTCTTGGGGGTTTGCTTTTTAAAGAGTCAGATTACATTATTATAGGCAGGCAGGTTCACAAAATGTGCCTTAAGCCCAAACAGTAACTGCAGGTGGTGAGTTTGTGTGAAACACAAGGGTTGAAGGAACGTAGATTGAGATGATTTCCTGGGTTCCCTTACCTTCCTAAGACAAAATGAGCTGCAGAGGATCCAAACCCTATTTTCAGTGTCATCCAGCACATAGTAAGAATGCAGGCACAATCTTCTGCACCTCCTTCCTTGTAAAGCTTTTCTTCTTTCCTGCTTGGGATTTGCCATGCAAGTCCACCCTCTCCCCCTACCAAGCTTTTCCCAGGAAATGAGGTGCGATTGCCTCCCTCGGGATACCCTCCTCCTTCCTGGGAATCTGGATTTGTTTCTGGGGACAACACAGTGGTGGTATTCAAATAAAGTTGCCACCGGTTCGGTGGGCGTGGCTTAGTGGCCACGTTTTGCGCGCATGCACACACTTTGCATGCATGCGCGCGCCAAACACGCCCTTTGCGCAGGCGCAGAGGCGTTCTAACTTGCCTCCTGCAAGCCTGCACGATGGTGGTCGCTGCAGCAGCTGCCGCGCGGCGATGTTCTGCACCGCGCAAAGCAGCTGCGCTTTGAATTCTGGCCATAAAAGTAAGTATGGGAACCCGGGCGGACAGGTGGGGCAACCACAGGGCAGCAAAGAGAACCGGTTCGGTCTCCACTGCTCATCACCACTACCGGCTCTCCAGAACCGGTCGAATACCACCACTGGGACAACACAACTGGAAGCAAACAGCTTGTCTGGAGGTCTGCTCCCTCCTCCCCACCCCTTACAAGCATAGAAAGGGGGGCCAGGGGAGCATGGGATCTGGGCTCTCCCCATCCCTGGGACTCAGAAGATTGAACCTGCATGAGGGCATATATCTCTTACTTCTTCAGCGTGAGAACCTCCTACCTCCCTTTGAATGGGAAAACATCCATCAGTCACCCAGGACCACAGCTGGATCTCTTCCCTTCAAGGCTTTCCTCCAGTTTTACTTCCTACAAAACTCAAAGGGTTAAACAGAGAGAGTGCAGTGTCCTAGAGTGGCAAGATTAAGCACATTACTACCTTCTCATCCTCCTCTGGAATCCACCTGTGGCCCTCCAGTGGTTCAGTACTGAAACGCATGGATGTTGCTTTCTCTTTGCAGAGGGAGCTCCTGGTGGATTGTATGTACATTGCAGGTACTAATTCAAAGAAGGAAGAAAGGTATCTTTGTCATGGGGACCAGGTGTTTGTCATGTCCACCCGGATCAGGAAGCCTTCTCAACCCAAGTGCTTTTAACAATGTTAGACCTATCCGCAACCTTCCATATTTAAGAACATCTGGAGAAAGTTGTATCCCTGCATAGAACGTGGCCAAGGAAAAGACAAGAAATGGAACTCTGCCTTTCTTTTCACTCAAGAGACTTAAAATAATCCTATCTTGACTCTGCACCCCATAAAAGAGGACAGTGGTCCTCAACTGAACAGACCCAAATTGTTGTCCCCAATTTGGGTCTGAGCCTGGTTCCGAGGCTGACGAAGAACACCAGACATGAGGTGCCGGTTTTGTTTGCTTTTATTGAAGCATTGCAAGAAAAGGGGTCTTGGCCAAAATGCCAAGGAACCTTGAGCAATAGAATTAAGAAAGCCCAACAACCAGCCACACACAGTCAATGTAACCCAGACCCACCAACTGAATCCAATAGTTGCCAGAAACAAGCCCCCCAAACAGGAAAGGCGAAGTCCACAAACCTGATGCAGAAATTGAAAAAAATAAGATCTATAAGCCACAAGCCAGAGTCAGAGTCGATAAAGCAAGATATGCAAATCCAGAGGCTGAAACAAGAGTCTGAGTCCAGAAGTCAAGGTTTCCAAAAAGTCAGGGGAGTGAGATGGGGTGGAGGAGGCAGCTGTTCTTCATCAGAGATCTGTTTTTCACTCATTTCCATTGCCTGGAAATGGCCCATTGTCTGTGGCCCATCCTCCTGTGCTTGTGAAGGCAGGCAGTTTCCTGTCCAGTTGACCACTTCCCCCAATGCCAGAGGGCCCTGGGACAAAAATGTCCTCCAGCTCTGGACTCCCCAGATGTTCCAGAGGAGACTTGCCATCCTTCATCAGATGGTTCCAATATCAACTCCCCCCTCCTAACTGGGATCCAACAGGGCCATGATATCTATATGGAACTGCTGGGGGAGATCATCCATTCTCCTATAGTCATGCTTTGCCTAATAACATTGTAAAAATAAGAGTTACCTTTGCAAGCAAATAAAATATACCGACAGGTGCAGAAAGGTGCAGAGGAAGGAAGAGTTACAAAAGTCCGAATTGGTGTTTCTTAAACCTTTTGCTTGCAGGCTCCATTCCCTCTTTAAAAAAGGCCCAAATAACTTTTGTTTGTACATTTATCACTGTTTAAACATTTAAAAAATACCATTTAAAATTAAAACTGATGCATTTGTAGATTTCATTCATGTAAAAACAATATTGAACTCATTAAATATTTCATGAAAATTCTAAATAAAAATGACTTTTTTTGCAATTGTCTTAAATAACTGGAAAATAATTTATATTTTGCAGACTCTTGAGAGCCTCTAATTACCATACCACACTAAGGAATGTTGATCTAAATGAACACACTGTCAAAATTAGTTTATGCAGCCCAACACCATTGGAACGCAACATTAGGTTCCAATGATGCAGTAAACCACAAAGCTACTGGGGTAGGTTGCAAGCCGGTAGCTGAATTTAGGAGACATTGTTGCAATTTGCTACTTAACCACTGCAGTGGGTTGCAGACTAAGCTTGGAGTAAAACTAGGCTTTTGGCATTTTCCCTTTGATAGGGCTTGCAGAGCTGACTTCCAGTTCTGGGGTTCCCAGCTTGGACTGAATGCGTGCAAACTCTGAAGGCTTGACTCTTTCAGATGTTTTTATTTTCCAAACAAGAGTCAAAGAAGAGAGCCTCGACAATGATTCTCTAATTTGGCTGGGGTTTCTCAGGTTGGCTTGTCCATGCAGAGTTCAATAGCTCAGCCAGAGGTATTTATGGCTGGTTGCTATGGGGACCTGTGTCATAAATTCCAACGCAACCAGGGAGAGGTTCCTTTCATGGCCCCACTGAAGCGTATTCTCTCTCTCTCTCTCTCTCTCTTTGTTTTAAGCCAATGGAATGGATCAGTGTAACTTCAAACTGAATGGTTCTGCAAAGAGCTGAGAACAATTGCTTAGACATACCACATTTAAACGGTCACAGGGAGAGAGCCAGAAAAGATGCAGTCATGTTTGCTAAACTAACCCTCTTCCTGCCTTGTTCCATAGACGGAGATAATGGCCCCTCCCCGTATCTTCCAAGCAGATTCAAAAGGATTGAATCAGCTTCTTTCACTTGTAAATATAGTTTCTCAAGGTAATTAACATGCTTGTTCTTGGTTCAAGGCAGCAAATTCAAGCATACTGAGAGAGAGAGAGAGAGAGAAGGGTAAGAACTGTCACTATTTGCTTCACCCAAATGGATCCCTCCTTTCTTTTCTTGCGATTAGAGGGATTTGTTGCAACCTTTTTTTACTGTTCTGCTCCAAGTTTCTGCTTCTGCTTGCATACTTCTCCTTACAGTTTAACTCAACATGAAAGATATCATCCAAATTAGATTTATTTCAGGCATCCTAGATATATCTCACATTATAAGAAGATTCTTCTGAAAGCGTCAATAATCTGATCTTAGTCATGTAGGTTTTTAAAAAGAGAATGATTTCATCCCCACATTGAGAAACGTGCAGCCATCTGTAAATTGGAATTCAAGTAGGCCTCCTCAGCCAATCGGAAGACTGACCCAGTGGTCAATCAGAGGTACAGATGTAACCACGTGATAAAGAACTACATTTCCCAGCAGGCAATGCCTTAAAGAGATAGCACCTAATTTCTAAGCTAAATATACACTCCAGCACTCCCATTGGTCAGAAAGAGAAATGTCGGCCTGCGATTGGCTAATGCGTTTGGAGGCCCGTCTTCTTGATGCTTCCGTTTGGCCACATGTTGGGGATGCGTGAGGTTGAGCGATCCGCGCTCGTTGTAAGGTCTCGGTGTAAGTAGCGATGATCTTTAACAGAAGGGAGGGACTGGCGGATTTTACAACTGGGAGGAAGAAATGCACCCTGCCATCTTTCATACTCACTTAAGCTTATCTGAACATCAGTTTTGGCCTAGCTCAATGACCTGCATTTAGGCAGAAGCTGTGAGAGGCGCAGAGCTTTGCTTAGGGGATAATATGCAGAAAACTGATCAAGACAAAATTCAAAAAGTTCCATTAACGTCCTTAAGTTCCATTTCCCGATGTCTTATCAATGCATCTCCCATCAATGCCACTGGCCCACGATGATGAGAGTAGGATGATGTAGGATGATGCACTGAAAGGCATCTCATTAGAGATATATTCTGCTTTGCACTGATGATGTTACCTAGTTTGGATAATGAAACGTCTGCAAGAAAACAACCAAGACAGCGAGCACCTCATTTCAACTTTGGGCTACAAATACTCTCCTTTAGTGGTAACACTTAAACATTTTTTTTACTCAACCTTTCTAGGTAAAAGTTGTGTGTTTAAATTGTGTACTCTATGTATTGTTTGGATGTAATGAAAAAGTATTCATATCACTCATGGGATATAACAAAGAAAGTAGTTTGGGTAAAGATATTTTAGTGATTTTTTAGCAGAGCAAGATTCCAGGTGGAAACATTCTGAGGAGCCAAGTCTCTTTCCTGAAATCACACTGCTTTTAATTTATCACTTCATAGAGTGGCCCACAAAATTACAAGCTTGCATTTTTATCTGATCTTTTGCATTGACATTTAAATTATTTTAGGCTACAGTAAAGCAAAAGTGAGCTTCTGTTAAGCTTGACAGCTTAAGATACTTCTTGTTCTGGATCAGACAGATTGTATCACCAGATCACTTTAATTGAAGAGATGCCCATGACTGAATCTGGAACACCAATTAAGCTATGGACATACACTCACTCTTCTAAGTCTCTAAGCTTGTGTAGAAAGTTAGCACCCACCCCTCTCCTAGAAGAAGAATGAAATATTCTAGGAAATATTAAAAAGGTAGAATATTATATTTCCCTGGATGAAAAAGGAGAGACATGTCTTTAAAGCCAAAGCAGCTCCCTGCAGCTCCCTGCCCACCCCTTCAGCTCCAGGGTGATGGAATTAAGACATGGTCCTCAGAACATAAGATTACCCATCTGACCACATGGCACCTGGGAAGATTACATCACCCAGCAGGATTCAACCAAGCTTGGCACACATACAACCTACAAAGCTAGCTATGACCCCTGTCAGCATCCAATCAGGACACTCTTCCTGTGCCCCAGGAAGTTCAAAGCTTAGAGAGGGCATAAAACCAAGGGACTCTCAGCATCTCTTCCCTTTTTCGCTCAGGAGCTCCAAGACATGTGGCCTTGTCCACCATTAAACTTTCTTTCCAAGCAACTTCCATGAATCCAGTGTCTTTTCCCCCACTTGGAACTGAACCTCGAAGGTTATTTCTTCCAACACTTGCTTCTTTGGACTCACCTATGGTCAGTATGGGAATAACTATTAACAAATTTATGCAACCTGGCTTAGATTGCCTAGTGAACCAATAAAATGAAAAATAAGTCATTTCCCCTCCCTGCCAATGCATATATTTTTAAAGTGTAGGTTACAATTGATCATAATTATGAGTTTGTGATTTTGAGCTTAAGACTTGGCAATATGTCAGAATGGACTGTTCTGTCTTTTAGAAGCGGGCATCCTACGATGTCTGAATTTGACGATGGAAAAAAGAGCATCAAGCCTACTGCTTATGAAAAAATAGTCCTGAATGATGTTTCTGAATACCGTTATTTGAAGATCCATTTGTAAGTTCAAATCCCTTTTTTAAAATATTTCCATTCCATTTCTGTTCAGTTCTGTATAACTTTAACATGTTTGAGGCATATTATACTTAC